CGAAAATTTTCTTTGAAAAAAGAAGATTGAACTTTTAAATTCTGGTAGAAAGTTTGATGTGTAGGGCAGTCGTGCTTTATTTGATGTAGGCATAACCTGTCGTGTTTGAAAGAATTTTTAACTGATAGGTTTAGTCGAGCAATGCGAGTAAAATAAATATACCAAGAGTCTGTCTAGGAATTAAGTAATTGAAATCATATGCAGTTATATGCATGTTTGTGTGTATAATAGTATTCTGTTACTAGTATTTTATATAAAGCACCACAGCCTGACTTTTGTAAAGCTTTTGCTCTCAGGTTTGTTTGTGAAATTACCTAAATATACTTATCCATATTCGTAATAGCTCTCTGTTTTAAAGCTCTGTAAGTTTCTTCAGATTTTAACTGATCAAAAACGTAAATAAATCCGAGGTTTGTTTTACATGCACAGCTCAGTGGTGCGGTGCTCCCGACGAGCCGTCTAGGCATATGCGATATGTATCATGGTCTGAGCTAACTCAGCTTCATCATCACTAAGCCCTTGGTTAGTTGTCTCCGGGCATTTATTTCTGGTACAGTCAAATGAATATATCACTTAGTTTCGTCTCACAGCCCGTGTTTAGGTGTGTGAAACTTAGGTGAATTTGAGTTATATTATTTACATTTCCAGTAAGATCTGCTCTTCAGGTTGATGCTCTGACTTCTTACTCCAATGACGTTTGATTTATCCCAATTGTGTAATCTAGATCTGTCAAATGTACACTTCAAGGAAGAAGATCCAACAAAGATAAGGATGCTGAAGCCCATGACATTCGAATGGAGACATTGCACAGGTCATTTTCTCATGTTGTTGAAAGGATATCTTTACGGCCTTTGTCCATAAGATTATCTCTGCAGCGTGTAAAGAGCATGATGATGAACTTTCCCAACTTGTCTCTTTGCAGGCATTTTGATTTTGGAAAATAACGAACCTGGAGCTTAAATATGATTCTGAAGACCTTTACATTAACTCATGCAGTGTAAGGGATTTTACTGATGGTGTAATATGTTCCGACAATTTTTATGATCATGGGCTCGGTTATAATGATAAACTATTCTCTCTTTGCGTCAATATGTTTGTCTGGAGAATCGCAAGCTGTTGTTTATTCCATGTTTCCCTATAGGATTGAGGAAAGCATATGTCGCAAGATTCATCTTAGGCTAAGTCAAGAACTTGAGAAGAAGTTCAGTGGAAGGTAAGCTTCCCAATAGCTGTCTATAAGAGGCAGGTTGCGATGAGTTATATCCAGAGAGACGAAATCGTTGAAGTGTAGCCAACTTACTATGTACGTTATGACCAAACGATTCCAATTTTGTTTTTTGCTTATGGTTGATATAGCCAATGGAGGTTAGAAGACCATCATTCCCAAGCATAATAGTATATCGATCGGGCAATCACTAAGGCAAACACTTATTTTATGTAACGAGTAGATACCTGATCTACTTCTTCCTGTACTGCTGGAAATTGTTTGGTTGTCTTGATGGTTGGATAATGTTACTGAGTCTGTTCATATGACCTCATGTTATGCCTTTTACTATCGTTTCGTTTCTTATCTACTCAACAAAGTTTCAAACTTCCTAGACAAATTGTTCCGCAATCACTATCGCATTCTGGATACATCAGGTCCTTTTATGGTCCTCTTTAAATTGCTTTGCTGAGAAAGCATTAAAAAAGAAGATTATTATAACAATCTGATTTTTCTAATCTTTGTTGAGAGATTTTTTTCCAACCAGTGTCACTGTAAGATGAAATTATGAATCAATTGAAATGGAATTTTTAAAAGTCAACAAAAGAATGATTCTTTGTGTGTTTTAAGTCAATTTAATCTTAGCCAAAAAAGGCATTGTTCAAGTGCAATTCAGTTAGAACTTCATCACGCGTTGAAGGTATCCAGTCCAGCTCTATAATTT